TTGATCATTTCATACCTCTTACTGTTAATTTATGAGCCCTCCAATGTGACCTCTCTGTGTAGTGATCTACAGACTGACCAACTTGCATCCTAACTTTTATCCTGCAAAATTTAAATAGAGGATTCTCTTTAATATGGGTCCGCTGGAACCATCCACTGCCCTGTAGTAATATTCCGGCTAATTTTTAATGTATCAACTTACATCCCACAAGAAACAGATTCATCAATAGAGCATGTTATCTATTTCAGTTAGCAAAGCTTCTTACAACTAGCTTGGGTACCCCTGTGCAGAGCTACACTGTGTTAGGTAGACATAACCGGTCTGTCTGGAAGCATTCAAAAGTCAAAAATAATGACAACAAAGGTACTCAGAATAACAAAGTCAAAAGGCAAAGGATGATACCTCAAAATAAACCTGCAGGCCAAAATACATTAGCAGCAAATCTGTAATAAAAGTGGAAACTTCCCCAAAATTTAGCCTTTGGAAGATCTGGGTTAAGTCCAAAAGCATTTAATAGAAACCCTGTATTCTACATTGAGAGAGCACAGGTTGCTCTGCTGTCTATAATCCAGCCTAAATCAATCGCAATTTACTGGTATATTACTATGACCTTAATATTTCTGCACCACTTTCCCCACATAAATTAAAGGATGCCAGTGGCAATTTACTTTAGCAAAGTAAATCTAATTTAGCAAAGTAAATGTTAAAATTGACTAGTAATTGCAAGTGCTTGGGAATCTATATTTTACAACAACATCGAAAACTATTTGCAACGAGCTGTTATTGAAACTTTCAACATTTTTACATGTCTAACTCCCAGATTGCAAAGGCTTACTTAGATTATTAAAATAGTTGGCATTCTAGATGCCTTCTGCAGAGCACAGCATCAGAACTAGGTGTGGAAGGATTCAATCAACTTTACAAAGGCTGTTTGCCTTAAAGTAGTCTCCAAATATGTGCTTTTACAAATCTTCACTTCCACATACATATATTATTGTTGCCTAATTCCAGGTGAACTAAACTGAGGGAAAGAAAGTATCTAGCTGGAAACTACTCTTTATTTTGCCAGGTATTATTTTTGATTCTGCAAAATCTGTCCCCTTACCTGGTTCATCACAGCTACGTTGCCCTTGAAAAAGGAGGAGATGGGAACGGGCAGATATGTCAAGAGTGGTAGATCACTCCTTTCCAAGGAGCCCTCATTATTGTTTAAGTACTTGCAGAGCCACACCTTTCCATTATATAGTACTTCATAGTCATTTCATGAAATCTAATAGGACTGTGCAAAGATATCCCACTGAATCGGATGAATGTGGCCTTTATTGACAGGAAAACACTTAGGATATTTAGGTAGAACAGTTTAAGTATTATGTAAATTCAGACTACTGTGCTGCAAACTGAGATTTTCCATTTTAACCTGAGAACTTGCCTGTTTCCTTGTGATAATATGTGAACTAATACATGTTACTCTGGCCCACACTCCTTTTAATGCAGTATGCTGTATTTCAGTTAAGTATAGTGTTTGAATTATTTGTCATTAAATCATCTTAATATATGTCTTAAATATTGCTTGGTTTATAAAAAGCAAAACTAGGAGATATTATTAACCACTACTGCCAACCTGAGCATACCCATATGGGTTGTAATCTGTAGGTTTCCTGTTTTCTAATGCTTCCAAAACTGATAAATTTAAGCCTGTATATTAATATGGAATATAGAACTACAAAAAATGCACTTAGTTAAGATTTTTAATTGTATTCTTTCACTATAATGACTAATTTAGTATTTCCTTAATCATATAACTTGGAGACAATGCTGTAGATCATAACAGTTTTTATTTTTAGTCTTATGATTTAATTGCTACCTCTGCAGGTTCTGCTTCTCCAGTAAAAATATTTTTCATATACATTCTTCATGGGCTGGGCAATATATCTGAAAATCTTTTTAAGCTAGTTCTAATTTATGGTTGCTAGCAAATAAGAACACTGTATTGACAACTGCTGGTGGAAAATCACCAGCTAGAGGGTACTAGGATTTAGACCCAGATCCGAAGCTTACAAAGTCAATAGAAAGGAATGTATTTCACTGAAATCACAACAGTGAGTTTACACTAGTGTTGCAAAGCTACAGGTGAAATACCTCTACTAAAATGAAGAACCATGGGATTTGTTATACCAAAATCAAAGGATAGGTATGCCTCCATGCATAAAACCCTGTTTACAGCAATGTTATGTAAAGCTTATCTACCTCAGGAGATTCTGATGTTAAGTTCTTCTCTGGCTGAATCTGTAGCATATATTTGATCACTCATGTATCTGGTGAATGTATCAGATACTGGTTTGAAACTGAATCATATCCTAGTTCAGAACTGAATGCCTGGTGAACTTGGGGTTAGCGATGGTGGTTTTTTGTTTTTGTTTTGTTTGTGTGTGTGTGTGTTTGGTTTTCATTTGTTTGGCTGTTTTTTTGTTGTTTTTGTTTTTTTTTTGAGGGAAGGGCAACTTTAATGTCAATAATTTCTTAGACTTCCAAGACACTAGGGCAGGGAAAAGAATATTCCTTCCTTTTCCACTGCTTTGGTTTTATGTTACTATTAATTTGCTAATATTTTGTATCTAATATGGCAACATGTGGGGACAGGTTACAAAATAGCCAAAATACAACCAGCAAGCTTTGAATATTTAAATGCTTCCAAAAATACATTTGTAGGTTTAATCTCCTTTCTCCAATTGGTGATGAGTTTCCATGGTGAAAATTGTGCACCGATGTAGAACTGCAGGGACATTACTCCAGTGATTTTGATAACCTAAGACTTTGGCACTGCGCTGTTCCAACCAACTGCTGAGAAATTTCCTGAGGTCCAACCACTGTATACAATGTCATCCCCTGTATTTTTAAACCACTTCCACTGAATTTTGCTTGATAAAAGTGCTACACAAGTAGAAATAGTCCCATTTGCTTCATATGCAGAGTCTGAGTCATGAACGGACTTAAAATTACCCCTGTATGCAGCTGGCATTTTTAAGGTACAGTTTCACAATCTACTTAAGATGGCCTAAAGTTGTGCTGCCCTGTTGTGTCTGCACGAGCAATTATTTAGCAATGAGGCTGCCCACTGCTCCAACATTAAAGGACTGGCAGGAGCACACAGCTGGGACAGAAAAAGAGTGCAGCACTGTGGCTTTTGGCAGTTGTTCCATTCTACATCTCCGCTGACAGTGACACCAGGCACTTTTCAGCCCATGGCTACTCTAGTCTTGCAGTGTTGAACTTCTCTAGAAAGAAAAGTCTTTGAAACAGGGAAAAAAATGTCACTTCCTTTTTTACTGTGCTTGCGTAGTGTGATAAAACTTAATCATGATAATTTTTAGTTTCAATAAAACTAGGATATTCTTGCTTGCTTGCTTCTTTGTGTTTTGTTGCTGCTGCTTTTATTTAGTTACCATTTCTAAATTTTAGAAAACCCTGAAATAAAAACATTAAATTGATAATAAAAATAGAAAATAAAAATTAAAAATCCTGGTAAGAGCAGTATCACCACATGCTGTTTTGCTCTTTTCTGTGTACTTTCTATTCTGTGTTCCCCCATATTCACTTAACCCTTAGAAGATAGGAACTCAGATATCAATTGTTTATACACTTTATTTATTACCTCCTTTATTTCTCAGATGCTCATCAGCAACATCAGATTTCTCCCTCCAAAGCTAGTTAACTAGCTAATGGTGTGGGTTTTGTTTGTGTTCCTGTTGGGTTTACACAGAGAGGAAGCAGAGTTGGATATTGCAAAAGTCGTTGTCACAGTCAGAGTGGGAGGAAGGATTTGAAGGAATGATCCCTTCTCTGAAAATGCGGTGTATACTTCATTCTGTGAGGTGTACACTTCATTTTATGACCTGTTTGTTGTAAAAATGGGTGAGCTATTCTTGGATGGCAGAGGTTCTAATTCCTACCCTCTAATACATTTAATTTATGTGTGTAAGTTTCTGAGTGTGATTATATAAATGAAAAGCAACATGATTTCCCTAGTTTGGCAGAAAATGTGTGCTGAAACAGACTAGAGATTAGGTTATATGAGAGTTAAGAGATTTCGGTTAGAACATTTTAAAGGAGAAAAGGCCATTGCGCCCATGTCTTCTCTGTAAAAGGTGGGTAGTTTTGACTGACAGACAACTGTACTGTATTAAAGAGGATCCTCATGACTGCTGCATTGTTCCCTATGGTTGTTTTGTTGGGTTTTTGTGTGTGTGCGCGCGTTGTAAAAGAAGGAGGTGTGCATGAAGTATATTTCAAGAATTCCCAATAAATTAGATCTATGAGTGGATTTAGATTAAGAAAAGTGTATCTTTCAGGCCACAGTTAAGTTTAGTCGCTAAATCCCCCTAAAAATAAAACCTTTACTTTAGACTTAAGGGTTTATGTACTTTTGCTATTTGAGGAGTTACTCAGAAGTTTCAAGAGTCCACCATTACTGGATACCTAGTTACCTCAGTCCAGATCCTACTTAGATACCTGGCTTTTTCTGGGTCTGTGGATGAATGTCTCATTTTTCACAGCAACATCTCATTCATTTAGGAACTTTTGTATTATTATCCTCATTGACACTGGCAAATAATTTGCTGCAGTCCAGCTGATTATCCTACTCTTCACTTCCATCTGTTAGCACTTGCCCTGTACTCAAGCAGCTTAACATCGCTAGCATTTTCAAGATCATTCAGATGGCTGATTTTGATATCAATGCAGAATGCTATCACTGAGGTGGTACACCAGAGTGTATCACCAACAGCAATCCATGATTTCTTATACTAACAACTTGAAGTGACAGTTAGGTCACTTTCCCACAAGTCAAAACTCATTTTCTTGGTAGATATTTCACAGCACCTTTTTCCTGCTGATAGCCCATCAGCCTTGCTTTTCAGCTATTCATAGTTACGAATAATATTTGAAAATGTAACAAGATAATGCAAGTTGTTGCCAGATGGTCAATGTTTCTCCCAATAAAAATGTATATGGTACCTTTTAACAGTTACTTTCACAATTAACAGTTGTTCTGAAAGTCACCTTGATTTTACTGACCACTTTTTAAACAGCTATATGTGATCAAGTAAGTCAGAATGCCAATGCAATTCAGACTCATTTTATGCAAAATAGTTGGTTGTAACCCAGGGTCACTATTTCTAAATACCTTAATCCAACTCCTTTGAAGTCTGAATCACTTAATTGTTTCTCCTGGATACCAATTGAATCCATGAGGTTTTTTGTTTCTCAGTTGTGGTATAGCAACTATAGGTCTCTGCTGACTATTGAAAATTACTAATAGGAAAATAATTGAATACTAGTACTACTACTATTGTTATCTGTTGTTCTGGTGAGGTCTTTTGGAAGCAAAATGATTTGAAAATGGGAGAAAGTCAGTAGCCTATACTAGTTGAAATCATACATGGTTAAAGATGGTGTTGTTTTTCAATTGGCTTAGCAGAAAACCAGCTTTAAGTATTCTGCCAGGGCACCTTTGACAATGTGAAAGAACTTCCAGTGAAAAAGCAAAGTGACATATAAATCTCTTCACTGCCATATAAATAAGAATTTGTCAAAATGGTATGATTTGTAAATATGTGGGGCCAGTCAATAATTCATTTTCATGCTTCTCCACAAATATCACATTGCAATTGAAAACTGTATATGTAATGTTCTCAACAAAGGTCCCACGGAGTGAGAAGGGCTCTTGGGAGAGGTATACTCTTGCTTTTAACCTAACACAAGTCCTCCACTTGTTCTGCTTGTTCAGAATTCCCTGACAATTTATTGGAGAAGTCATTCTCTGAGACTTCAATATGTTCCAGAATGGGACAGCCTTGGGGAAAAATGTAATGGGTACCATATAGGGTACAACGGGAATAGAGGGGAAAAGACGTGGGAGTTTTTAATTTGTAGTGTATGCTGTTCCATTTCTACTGACATTAAGTAAGGATGTGGTCTCTACTGTTGCTTTACATTTCCCTTTGTTCTTTGCCTGGAAAACTTCCCCAGTAGCATGAAAGGCAGAATTTTAACAGATTCAAGGTCAGAGAATGATGTGCTGATCTTTGGTCATTATGCAAATTTCTTCTGACAGGAGGATACGATCCAGGCAATAACTGGTATTTTTCCCTCTTAAGACAATTCTATAGTGCACACCTGAAAGATTAGGATGGCTCCAGACATAGTTCATCATTGATGGAAATGTGCATAATTTAATAATTTAATCCTTACAAGGTGCTCTCCACAGCACAAACAGAATCAGTATCCATAATGTATGACCTTTATGTATTCATATATTCATTTCAAGATAGTTATACATTGAGTAGCTTAAGAAATACTTGAATATGCAACTGTATTTTCCAACATATTGGGAGGGTGGAGGGGAGTTAAGAAGAATATAGGCTATGCCTGGGAAAAAAGTGGTCATTTATGCTGTTCGGATGATTAATACCCACATCCTTTGAGGCAGTTTATAAATATAGTAAATGGAAACACATATCCAAAAGCTAACACCTTTTCTTTTCCTAGACTGCATTCAATACCAAAGAATAGCTTGGCATCACATCAGGCAGGTTACAAAATCAGGCTCTGAAAATAATCACCTGCAATCCAAACTACATTCCAAATCAAGAATGGAATAGTATCTCTTGAATTTTGTGGGTGCACCAGAGGGGCTAACCAGCACTTCTACTGACCCTTCACCACATCACTGACAGTGAACAAGTTATGGGGCAGAAGGGTTTACATCCCATTACGGTTTTATACTTTACTTCAGAAGCCTTCAGCTAAAGCTGAATGACAATCTTTTTAAAGCATCATATAAAATAAACTGCTTACGCGTGGAAGTAGTTAAAAAAAGTGAGATCGCTCCAACAAGATGATGCTGCGTATCTCCGTGGCTTATGCATTTATTTCGCACTCAACGAAGTTGCTGTCCACTGGAAGGACGGCTCCTGCCTCCCTGCCCAGACCCATCCCACCCGTCGTACCGTAAGCTGCCATTGCCCCGTCTGGTAGCCGCGGAAGCCGCTTGGTGGCGGGGCGGCAGCTGCCGATCGGCGGGACGGCCACGGAGGCGACCCCCATAACCCTCATCCGCAGCTTTTCTTCACAGAGCCCTCTCATACGTGCCTGCTGCTTCCCGCCGCCCGCTCCGGGACCTTCCCTCGCAGTCCCTCACCGCGGTCTCAGGGCAGCCGCCGCCTAAGCCGCCTGGGAGACGCTGCCCCTCCTCCCCCGCGCGCGGCCCCCGACTTTGGACCTGGCCCTGCCCCTGGGCGCTCTTGCAGCGCTCCGCGCCGCTCCGTTGGTAGCCCGCTGCCGAGGCGCAGGGACGGCGGTGGTATCCGCCGCCAGGAGCGCGGCTGGGCTCGGCAGCCGGCTCACGCAGTCGCAACCCAGAAGACCAGCCGGGAGCGACAGCGGGGTCGGCAGCCCACCCGCCGCCGCAGCACGGCGCGTAGGACCGGCACATCCCTGTTCTGCCGGGGGCGGCTCTGCCAACCACCCCCACCCCCTCCGTCACCCCCTTCCTTCCCTCTTTTCCTCCTCCCTCCCGCCCTGCCTTCTGCTTTCTCTCTCCGCCCCTCTAGAACGATATCCGTGGGAGTTTGCTTCACTGCCCGTGCCGGCTGCCGCATCCCCCCCGCCACCAACTCTGGGGAGCCTCCGGCGGAGGGCAGGGACCCGAAGTTGAGGACTGACAGGGAGAAGCACCGGCGACGCGGAAAGGGCCAGAGCCGAGCACAGGCCGGCCCAGACGAGGCAGCGCGCCGCAGCCCCCAGGTCGGGAGCCAACCCCGGGCCGCACTGGCTGGGCAGAGCGACTCGGCTCCGCGGCAGCTGTCGGCCGCCCCGAGCCCCGTTCCCGCCTCTCGCCAGAGCTGCTGCGGTAAGAGACGGGTTGCGCTGGGGGACGCAGGTGAGAGGACACACGTAGGGTCCCGGCCACGGCGGGGGGCTCTTCCTCTAAACTTGTTCAAGTTGTGCGGCCCCGATGCTGAGGGGAGGGGCGCGCGGCGGCGCCGGAGGGGCGCCCTCTGCTGGCCGCGCCGAGCCCCGGCCGGCTTTGTGTTAGGGCTGGGGGGGCGAAACAGCGGCGGGCGGCGTGGGTCCGTCCTGAGAGGGACAGCATCGCTCCGTCACTCCGCGGGCGCAGCCAGGGCGCGGGGTCCGTGTAAGTGTCGTTTTACTTTGGTTTTCTTTTTAATTTGAGCTCCATTTAGTCTCGGTTGCGTTTCAGGTTTGCTCTCTGTAGCTCCTCGCACTGTAACGGGAAGGTAGTCCCTGATGCAGGACAAGGTGAACTAAAGAGAGCTCAAGTAGCCAATCTGGATTTCTGTTTTGCCAATGGCAAATTTTGTGGAACTTTGAAAAATGCTAATTAAAAAAAAACAAACAGATCTGTTAAATAAAAGGTGTATTAATTCATCTTTCCTAGAAAGTGAGCAGTACTTTGTTAAGTACTTCAGATACGCTCTCACACCTGTACAGCTTCAGAGAACTTTTGTTTCTCTTTTCACAGAAAGAAGCAGCAGGCAAAGTGGAAGAAAACCCGAAACGGCTCTTTTAACAGAAAAATCTTGGCTGTCTGCCTCTTACACATTTTCCTTTTGCTTCGTAATGGAAGGAGCAGGATTGTCTGAATCATTAAGGCAAAATTTGGGAATCATTGGCTGAAGACATCATGAAAAAAGACTTGACTATGTCGATACTCTCTGACTACTAATTCAGACACACTTTCTGCAGACAGAGGCGTATAGTTGATAGAAGCACAGCAGTTTCCTACAGAGAGCACATGGAACATCTATGTTGATGTTTTTAGAGTTTGGTTTTTTTTATTATTTTTTTTCCTTCCCACTCTCTCATGAGTCCCAAAAAGGAAGATGGAAAGACAGTGTGTGGAAATTGAGCTAAGGTGAAGGCTGAAGAAAGTAACTTCAGTTTTGGAGTCTGTTTTCCAAGTGCTGTAAATCCCCTATTTCGTCCAATATAACACATTGTTCTGAATAAATTATATCATTTTGTGATCAGTGGAGTTTTTGTCAGCTGTAGAAGTGGAATTCAACCTGATTGAAAGCTCTTTAAAAAAAAGTAAATGTGCGACTCCAGTTCCTTTTTTCAAGTGAAGTTTTTCAAGTTACCAAGAGAGGGTGTTTTGATCTCTTACTGTGCATTGTCACAACCTCTGTTTTATATGCATATCTTAGAGATTTTACTTCTTCCCTAATTTTAGTATTTATGCTGTAGTGTTGTGTTTGAGGGAAGTGTGAACAGACAAAACACCTGAGATTTAATTTTTTGAGAGCATTGTTATTTCAGTGTTGTAGCTCAGATGACAAATAATCTGAGTATCTGTTGGCATGCACAGTACACACTCTTTTCTGCTAAAAATACGCCTTAAGATGTTTGGTTTTGTACTTCACTGGATCAGAGTGTAATATCTGTACATTGTGTTTTGTTAGGAAATGCATGCCTGGGGAAGAGGTACTGCCTAATGGATCATGGCTCTGATGTTCACGGGGCATACTTTACTTCTGGCATTAACGATGTTTGCTGTCTTCACTTTTGAAGAATCTGTAAGCAATTACTCTGATTGGGTGACTTTTGTAGAAAATATAGATCAATATGAAAAACAGCAACATGAAGGTCTCAGAGCTGAGCAGAAGCCGAAAAAAGCAGTTCTTCATCCAAGCTTGTATTTTGATGCTGAAGATGTTCAGGCACTGAGGCAGAAGGCTCATACAAGCCATTCACATCTGTTTAGAGCCATCAGAAGTGCAGTGATAGCTATGCTGTCTAACCCATTATACTACCTACCTCCACCCAAGCACGCCGATTTTGCTGCAAAGTGGAATGAGATTTATGGTAACAATCTGCCACCTCTAGCATTTTATTGTTTGCTGTGCCCTGAAGATAAAGCTGCATTTGATTTTGCCCTAGAATATATGGATAGAATGGCTGGCTACAAAAACTGGTTGGTTGAGAATGCACCTGGAGATGAAGTGCCACTTGGTCACTCCCTAACAGGATTTGCCACTGCTTTTGACTTCTTGTATAATTCACTGGAAAATGAGAGAAGGGAAAAATACCTGGAGAAGATATGGTCCATAAGCAAGGAAATGTATGAGTACTCAAAGGTTCGTTCCTGGGGAAAGCAGCTTCTCCATAACCACCAAGCAACTAATATGCTTGCTTTGCTTATTGGGGCTTTAGTTGCAGGGGTGGACAAAGGATCTCAGGCAAATATTTGGAAACATGCTGTTGTTGATGTGATGGAGAAAACAATGTTTCTGCTCAATCATGTTGTAGATGGGTCTCTGGATGAGGGCGTAGCTTATGGGAGTTACACAGCCAAGTCGGTAACCCAGTATGTTTTCCTGGCTCAGCGACACTTTGGTATTAACAACTTGGAGAATAACTGGCTCAAGATGCACTTTTGGTTTTACTATGCTACCTTATTACCAGGCTTTCAGAGGACTGTGGGTATAGCAGATTCTAATTACAACTGGTTTTATGGTCCTGAGAGCCAGCTGGTTTTCCTGGATAAGTTTGTCTTGAAGAATGGAGCTGGCAACTGGCTGGCACAGCAGATTAGAAAACACAGACCCAAGGATGGGCCGATGGTTCCATCCACTGCACAGAGGTGGAGCACGCTACACACTGAATTTATATGGTATGCTGCTGAAATCACTCCTCAGCCACCTCCTGGCTATGGTAGTGCTAAAATGCATTTGTTTCCTAACTGGGGAGTTGTTACTTATGGGGCTGGGTTGCCAAACAGTCAGGCAAACACCTTTGTGTCCTTTAAGTCTGGAAAGCTTGGTGGACGTGCTGTCTATGACATTGTTCACTTTCAACCGTATACGTGGATTGATGGGTGGAGAAGTTTCAATCCAGGACATGAACATCCTGATCAGAACTCTTTCACTTTTGCTCCCAATGGACAGGTGTTTGTATCTGAGGCTCTTTACGGACCTAAACTCAGCCACTTGAACAATGTCTTGGTCTTTGCACCATCTCCTACAAGCCAGTGCAACCAGCCTTGGGAAGGACAGCTTGGTGAGTGTGCCCAGTGGCTGAAGTGGATTGGTGATGAGGTTGGAGACTCAACTGGAGAAATCATAACAGCCTCTCAGGCTGGAGACATGATGTTTGTGAGTGGTGAGGCAGTATCTGCTTACACATCAGCAATGAAATTGAAAAGTGTGTATCGTGTTTTGCTGCTCTTGAATTCTCAGACATTGTTAGTAGTAGACAATATTGAGAAGGAGGAAGACTCTCCTGTCAATTCTGTCAGTGCCTTTTTTCATAATCTGGACATAGATTTTAAATACATACCCTATAAATTTAAGAACAAATACAATGGAGCTATGATGGATGTGTGGGATGCCCACTACAAGATGTTTTGGTTTGATCATCATGGGAGTAGTCCTGTTGCTAGGATACAGGAGGCAGAACAAGCTGCTGAATTCAAAAAGCGATGGACTCAGTTTGTAAATGTTACCTTTCCAATGAAAAACACACTTACAAGGATTGTTTACCTTTTCTATGGCCCTTATGTCAATGTTTCTAACTGTAGACTCATAGATAATGCGAAACCTGGATTTCAGATTTCACTCAGTGTCAACAATACTGAAAATACTATCTCTGTTGTGACTGAATATCAGAATTTAAGGACAAGGTTCGATTACTTGGGATTTGGTGGTTTTGCCAAAGTAGTTCGTGAAAACAAAGTGACCAAGTTTGGTCTAGGTACTGAATCTTTGAAAAAACAGATAAAAAATAATAGGGCAGTTTTCCCATTTGGATTCAAAGTGAACATAATTGCAGGGTTAATTCTGGGTGTTAGTTTGGTCATACTGGCTTTTCAGTGGCGATTTTACATATCCTTTGGTAAAATGTTGCGTTGGATCCTGATACTGGTTGTCACACTATGGCTTATTGAATTGGTGGATGTGTGGAGCATGTGCACTCAGCCCATCTGTGCAAAATGGACCAGTGGCATAACAAAGCTAGAACATGATGAAGGCAATAAAGCCAAACAGTTAGAAGGAAACCCTATTGCTTTGCCAGATGTTATCATTACTTCACTTCCTGCTTCTGGTGCAGAAATTTTAAAACAGCTGTTTTTCAATAGCAGTGACTTCTTATACATCAGGGTACCTACACCCTATCTCGAAATTCCTGAGACTGAATTTGAAATTGATTCCTTTGTAGATCCATGTGAATGGAAGGTTTCTGATGTCCAAAATGGTCATTTTCATCTGATCCAAGGGTGGCTCCAGTCTTTAGTTCGAGGCACAAAGTTACATTTACAAAACATTCATTTATACGAAGCCAGCAGAAGTAAAATTGCTCAGCATTTTGCCATAAACAAAGACAAAAAGAAAAGATCAAAAAAGAGAGAATCTCTGTCAGAGCAAAGAAGCAGGGCAAGAGGGAGTCAAGATAAAGATGCTGAATATATTAGGGAACTGAGAAGGCATCTCTCCTATTATCCTGATGCACGACCTGTGCTTAGTTTAAGTAGTGGAAGCTGGACATTAAAGCTTCCCTTCTTTCAGGAAATCCTAGGACCATCAATGAGAGCATTATATGTTGTGAGGGACCCGCGGGCGTGGATCTATTCAATGTTGTACAAAAATAAGCCAAACCTTTACTCTTTGAAAAATGTTCCACAGCACTTGGCTGCAATGTTTAAAGGGGAGCATGGTAAAGGAAAGTGTAGTTTAAATGAAGGCTATGCCTTTGAGTATGAATCGTTAAGAAAAGAACTTTCAAATTCTAATTCAAATGCAGTGTCTGTGTTGTCTTATTTATGGTTAGCAAATACAGCAGCAGCACTGAGAATAAATGGGGTCTTGCTGCCAACAAATTATCAGCTAGTCAAGTTTGAAGATATTGTGAGCTTTCCTCAGAAGACGGCTGAAACAATTTTTGCCTTTCTTGGTATTCCTCTTCCTCCTGCTAGGTTAAACCAAATATTATTTGCCACCTCCACCAATCTTTTCTATCTTCCTTATGAAGGGGAAATTTCATCAAGTAGCATTCATTCCTGGAAACAAAACATGCCCAATGAAGAGATTAGACGGATTGAAGATATCTGTTATTCTCTAATGGATCACTTAGGATACCCAAAGTTTATAGAATAAATGCTGCCGGTCAGCAGAAATTTGCACTAATGATCTCTGACTCCTAATTTGTGGATAAATATTAGAAAAGTTTGTTTATTCTTGTAAAATGTGTACAGTCTGCTACTTTCAGAGAGATTATTTTAAGAAAACGATAGTTGTTCTTGCAGTTGTGGTTTTTTTTGGTTTATTTTGGTTGGGGCGGGGGGGAATACAACAAAAACTTGTAAGTACTTCTGCTGCCTTTCAAAAAAAGCTGTGTGAACATTTGTAGAACTACCAGCTGGGAACTCTATAGCTCAGGGGATTAGTAATAGAATATGGAACTTTTCACCTCCAGCTCACCAGTTAGACCAAGTGGTTAGCTCCTGAAAGTACTTACCATCTAATTATTGTATGATGGCTTATATGAAATTAAACTGGCTAACCTGGCCCAGTTCCCAAAGGTGGTAATTAGCCCCCTGGACAGGTTTGCTAGTGCATTCTGTCTGTGTCTCACTATAGTGGTGCAAAATAAACAAGCTGAGATTTAAGGCTGTTCAGCATCCCTTCAGCAGGAAGAAACAATCAGAACATTTGAGTGAATCTAGTTTCTTATTTACAGTCTCAGCAGATAGGCCCAGAACTGGAATGGACATGGATATTAAATATCATTATAGGATATGGTTCTTTCAGCTCAGAGATGTGGCACTTCGATTGGGGTTTGTGCTTTGAGGAAAGAGAAGACTTCATTCTCCATGCCTGACAATAGAGTATGCTTTGTGAGCTTGAAGTAAATTATCTGCAGAAAAAGAAATGGGACAAAAGCTAAGAAACCAACAGGATGTCCCAAATGAGCAATTCAGTTTGGAGAAGATTTTGTGTAGTTTTGACCCACCTCAACCTAACTTGATTTTGAAAATTGCTAACATCTTGGCTCCTTGCACTGCTTTATCCTCTACCACTTGTCTTAAGAGTTTCTGCAAGGATTTTCTCTTTTTCAGTGAGACTCTTCCATCCTGCTTAGTTGTAACACATTTCTGCTGATTCTTGTGCGTAATTTCTCTGAGACCAGTGCAAATATTTGATGTCATTGTCAGTGGCTTATTGTTGATGTCTGCATAAAATGGCAATCTGAGATTTAGAAGATCTTAAATAAATTCCAGGTCTGTATTGCTGAGGGATGTTTTGCTTTTCTGTAAAATGAATTTCTGAAGGACAACCATTGCTAACCTCAGGTCTTCGAGAAGGCAGAAATCTGAAAATCGTCTATTCCTCAACCACCTCACATTTGAGTTTCCTTACAGTAAACTATTTCTAAAGTTGTCTGATTTTTATTGGTGTTTCTTTAACATGGAACTGTGATACAATGGTTTGGAATCAGATAGGCTTGAAATGATGGTTGTGTCTTTGTCACAGCTTATTTTCTTCTTGAGTCACAATATTTGTTTGCACATGCCCATTAAGAAAAGTTTTCCCATTTCCCAATATAACTTGCTCAGAATTCTTTGAAAATGCATGCATATTGAATATGTCTGCAGATGTGTAAATCAGGTCAAAAAGAGACATCTGTTTCCTTTACTATGTATTTACAAATAGAATTGTCTTGAAATATGCTTCATTTGGTTTGTGGGAGCTGAGATCAGAGATCATTGAAATATTGAAATATATGTGTAATTACTCTTTATTTGGGTGGTAAGCATCAGACAATGTCAAAAGTGCAGTGAGTTTCTTCATACAGATTACAGGTACCCTCACTGATTTTTAATATAAAGGAGTTCTTGCCTTTTCTTCCAATTTTACTATTATGTGCCTGTCTTATCCCGCTATCTTTTCCTTTCGTACATACATTTCACATCCTTTGGAGCATGTTATAATATCTAATTATGACCTAGAAGTAGCTCTATCGTGGTGAGTCACTAGAATGTCAAAAAAAGCCTCTAGCATGATAAAGCTATTTATTGGTCTTACTAAAGATATTTTTCGGTTTTACTAACCATAACTTAGCTGTCATTTACTAGCAGTAGTTGATTTTTCCCCCTTCAGTCCTAGGTTTTTCCCCTGGCTAGGGATAATGCCATGTTGAAGGAAATATTAAACAATATACACCAACGTGTTAGTGAGACTTTGGTTTTCAAGTATCATTCTCTCAAACTGACTTCTCTCAGAAGACAGTTTTGATCATATACTAAAAAGAAAAGGTGTGGATGTTTGTACTTGACAGAATAAGTTTCAGCGTTTGCTTCTGTTTCCAGGATTTACACTAGAACCAGAACATATAGAAAAATCTTCTCTGTTAGATATTTTAGGGAAGTTGGAGGTAAGATTTATGACTGTGTATTTGTGGAAGTAGAAAGACCTTTAAATCCTTTCCTAAAAGTGCCATACGTAATGCCACAATAGCCTATAAACCAACTTTTTGGTTTTGAGTAGTTAGGGTAGATGGAATCATCTGTTGGGAGTATCATCTGTGCTGCTTTTGGAAAACAGGTTATCCAATGCACTGATGTTCATAATAGTGTCATTGCTGTCTTAATTATATTCAAGATTTAGGAGCTATTTCTTTACTGTACTATACTTTCCCAGTTCAAAGAATGCATAATCTATTATTCAGATTTTGATGCCTTGTGTATTCCTTATACAGGTGTAGAAAGGTAGAAGAGAGCTATGTTCTTTATTTTTACATCTTCTTGTGAGAGCAAATGCATTATAATAGGTATGCTAAAAATATGTAAAAGGAAAGGTGGTGTATTTGAAAACAACAAAGTGAGCATGCGTAAGGTATGGCAAGTCTCCAATTTTCAATCAAGTAATTGTTTTTTTGTGTTTTATATGATGTTACATGACCACTTGACCAAAGTTGGTAGGATTCAAATTTATGTTTGAACAGTTAATTTGCCAGATCCAGAGTTGAATTTCTGTACAAAATCCTGAATTTTGTGTAAAATGTGTGGCACAACACTATTTGACAGTGTAATAGTATTCTGGTAAGTGTTAGAATGAAATGAAAGAAAAAACTCACTTCAGGTTTTATAAAGTTGTTGGTAACTGGTTTGTAAAGCTGCAGTCATGGATCAGATTTATTTATTTTTTTTTAACCATAAAAATGGCTGTTGAAACTTAATGATATGACTGCTAGGGGAGTCCTGGTTCTGCTGACAATCAGTTACTTCCATTGTTAGTCTTAGAGACACTATTTATTTGATAAACACATAATCAAGGATATAATACTGCATTTCCTGAAAGCATTTGAAGTGCACTGTTCAAGATTATGGATAAAAATACGTTACCTCAATATTTCTGTAAGTTACAAAAATTAGCCCTTTTGTGACTGGCCCATATGTTGGAATATTTCATAATTAGAAACTGTGATATTTATTTATGTGACTTAGAAGTAATTTATTTAGATTATTTCTTTTTAATTGCACATAAAATTATTTTCTTCAAGATGATAAGTTCTGGATTTTAATTTTTTTATGATCAGGGCATTATACTCTTTCCTTCCTTTCTCCAGGCTCCCTTTTAGATTTGGTTCTGACTAAAACCTTTGCTTAAATCTCACCATGAATGGGCTGTTTCCAAGTAAGGAGTCTGTCTGGAAACTCTTATATTCTCAGGTTAAATTTCATTGCATTTCACTGTGGAATATCATGGACTAGGAGTCACAGATCAAATCCCTAAATTGTGAGCTGTTCAGAATTGGGCTGTAAGAGGAATGATTCCTTTCCTGTAAGGGGAATGAATATTGTGCCATTGATTTCAACGGGGCCAAAATACTATCTATCATCTAGAAACATCAAATTATTACCATCTACTTTGCTCGCATATTCCAAAACAGCAGAAATTATAGGAAGTAAATAGCTCAAATGATCTGTTCTTGTTATTTGATGAAAACCTGAAATGCATTTTAATGGTGTAAAAAAATTATAAATTGCTCTGTAACTGTAATCAAAGCTACCTTTAGGCTGTCTGTGAAATTTATAAACTCACAAAAGGAGTTATTGAAACAAACATATTAAAAATAATATACAAAGCACTATTTGAAATATTATAACTTTGATTTTCTTTAGTGAAGAGAAATTTGCTGCATTGTGATCTACACTATTCCCATAAAGGATGTGAATGGGTAATCTTGCACTCTCAGAAAAAAAACTAATAATGGGAAACTGCTGTTTCACATTACCGAAATGATACTCTACTAAATTAAACTATACATCTCTTAAGATGACAGTATACTGAGAGATTTATGTGATTTAGGAGAATGAAGATGCTCTGATTTCATTTACACCTGTCTAACACAGAATAATTTCTGAAAGGTTCTTCATGTATGCTGGTTTAAATTCAACATTTAATTTGCTGTCTTTACTGAGAAAGATATTGTGGTGTTTAAGAACATGACCTGAATTTGTCTAGCTCACATTAGGTAATTTAACTTTCACACCTAAATAAGGAGCACTGTCGCTCTAGAATCAATTGAAAGTGAGCGTTGGCTTCAAAGGCAAATCAGACATTGCTTACCCCTTTTTAAATTCTCAACAGCCAAGGGTGACTCAACCCTTACTTTAGATGCCCACTGAAAGGCCTCAAATGAAGTGGGGTGAATTTGGCTTTAAATGTGTATGGTATTAGATCTGTGTAGATTTCTGTGCCTGAGAAGTTCTAGTACATGCACTGTCCAAACAAAATTTTATGAAACATCCTGCATAAAATAAAACTATTGTTAGTAAAATAATATTTTGGTGTTATCCTTTTTGGGTTTTTTTAGAATCATAGAATAGTTAGGGTTGGAAAGGACCTTAAGATCATTAAGTTCCAACCCCCCTGCCATGGGCAGGGACACCTCACACTAAACCATCTCACCCAAGGCTTCGTCCAGCCTGGTCTTGAACGCTGCCAGGGATGGAGCATTCACAACTTCCCTGAGCAACCCATTCCAGTGCCTCACCACCCTAACAGGAAAGAATTTCCTCCTTATATCCAATCTAAACTTCCCCTGTTTAAGTTTGAACCCGTTGCACCTTGTCCTGTCACTACAGTCCCTAATGAAGGTTCCCTCCCCAGCATCCCTATAGGCCCCCTTCAGATACTGGAAGGCTGCTATGAGGTCTCCACGCAGCCTTCTCTTCTCCAGGCTGAACAGCTCCAACTTTTCTCTTACATGATTTCACCAACTAGGATATATGTATTTAATTTTTTTAAATATTGCTATTTTTGTTTGTTTTGGATGTAGAAACCACTGTTGTCTTTCAGAAAGTATTGAATGGCAAGACCTCATTCAGTTTGCCCTCAGATTCGCAGTAGGTATGATTGGTGTTAAGTTGAAGACCACAAAATAGCTGTATTCCTAGAAAAAAAAAAGGGATGATTTCCCATTCAGTTCTCAGGAACTAGAGAGCTGGTGCAGTCCACAATTTTGATGTCTGTGAACACTGTGGCTATATACAAACTGTGTATTTAGAAGAGCGCCTTTTGTAATTCTTGAACTATACCTAGGATTCTTTTC